ACTGAAGATAACATTGAAGGTTGCTCATTTGATCAAAGATTAGGTACTAAATGAATATTTCTCATAATATTTTCGTTCCTATAATTTACTCAATTCAATGAAAATCTGATCTTTTGATCATTTGATTGAAGATTACATAATGAATGAATATTTTTCAGTATAGTTTTGCTCATCTACTCTGCTTTCTTCGAAGCTAGGTTTATTCGTTGATGATCTCATCGAAGGGTACATGACAATGTCATATTTCTAATAGTAATTGTATTCATCTATCTTGATTACTGCGGAGGAAAGATTCTGTTGTGATGGATTGATGACATCATACATAGTTCATGATCAATGGTATGTCAATCGTTTTATTCGACTAATTCGTTTAGTTTGAAGAAAAGATTATAGCTGGCTTGCTGATTAATGATGACATATTAAACGAGTAAGAAGAATTACGAGAATGTTCATCTAGTTTTTTTTTTTAATCTTCAAGTTATAGTCTCTAAAATACTCAGCTGATCAGAGGTGATACAGCAGATGAATAGTATCAATTGCAATGGGCAAGATTCTTTCCTTTGATCTTGTTCGTCATTCATCTTTGAGTTCATGTTCGTTTGTTTATCAAATACTACACGAAGAGAGAATACTTATAACGACGGAGACATGCATCACTGCCAAGATAGTGGACAATTATGTCGCTGATGATTATGCAAAGGTCGCTTTTTTGTTCACTCAAATGAAGATTACATAGAAAGTAAATTATTACAATAAAAATATTCTTTATATATGTTTCGGACTTAGAAGAAAAGGTCTTCAGCTGTGAACATACTTAATTAGCAGATGATAAACGATGAATTACGATCGAGTTTTTTTCTCAGAAGATGCTGAAGTATTTTGATGTTTTTCTAAATGAAGAAAGTATATTTCTTTCCACTAATTCATAAAAAGGAAGTTGTTTTTTGTTTTAATTTTATTTGATAGATCCTCTCTGAGAACTCATGAAAGTTTATTTAACTAGTGAAGTTTTCTTATCAACAATAGTTTAATTTTATTTGGACTACTCTGAAAAGAGTGGTATGGAAAAGTCCCAAGCTAAATATTGTTAGTAAGGGCTTTTGAATTATCATGAGTTACTACTTTTCTTGACAATTTGAAAAGCAAAAGATGTTTCCAAAACTCTAGGATTTGTAGGAAAAAATCTGCTTTCTGAAGTAGGTTCAGGACTAGAGGAATAATTTAAACTATTACAGTGATTAATCATCTTACCAAAAAGTATATAAAATTTATAATGATAGCATGCGAACTGACCTTCAGCACATTCTTAAAATATCCATTCTTCTAGAGAAATCTCTTTTTTAAAATATGGAAACGATAGAATATAATAACAAAGTAAAAACGAATTAAAGTAATTCTTTCTTATAAAGGAATTAAATATGATTTTCCTAAGCTACGATTCACTGATGCTCAGATCAGTTTTGTTGATTCGAAAATTACAGTACACTTCAGCTTCTTTTGCTCAAATTGAATAACAAAAGCAAATAATGAAAAGAAAAATATTGGGCGTGTCAGAATAAGATATTCATGTTAGACATAGATTATTAGCTTTCTGGCAAAAAAATATAATAAGTTTGCTTGCCGGAATAAAACAATAATATTTATTCAAATCGCTACGAATATAAAGTATTCTAACTGCTGTTTATTGCACAAAAGAATGCACTTATGCAACGATCATTAGTATACATCAAATTATCGTCATCATTGTGAACTGTTTTTGTGTTATAAACGGAAAAAAACTAAAAAAAAAAGATGTGCAAGTGCATTTCGGAAGCACTTAAATATACAGGTTACTGTATTCAACGGCACGATGTACACTGGTCATTTTTCTATGTTCAGATATCAACGAACATGTCCAAATAAATCTCTAATTCATGTTATTACGTAGATGCCATTTAAATGCATAATCTAATTTTTTCCAGCAACGTAGATTAGACGATTCCACAAAATTTATTCACGCCGCTCTGTGTCTAACTCAATTGCAGCTAGTTACTTTGATCATTTCATGTTTTCATCGAATTCTTTAACTGTTTATTTGAGTTTTCCAACTGTTGTTCAGTGAAATCTTTCGATGCTATTAGCTGGATCACTTCTTGTAAAAAATTTTCAAACTGATTCTTCATATCAATTCGTTTGCTATTCAGTATTTGGATAATCTGTTGTCGAGCTTGTTCAACACCCTGTTTCACTTTTTTGATAGTTACTTTTTCTCATGCATTATTTTAACACAAAAGAGGATGATGAGCGTCTTTTTTGTTGGGTTATCTAAATTATTTTGTCATGAAGTTCATTTAGATTTTAGACAAAACTATCAGATTTGTTAGTAAATGTTTTGAGATGACTGTTAAAGTCCTTCTTGCAAAAGTAGTTATTACAATCTGTACAAAAGAAGATACCTGTTTCTTTTTCACACGTTACACTTGCTTGTGATGTAGCCATATCTGCAAGCAAAGGGTAGCAAAGTTTATTGATTTTATAAAAGGTTGCAATGGAGTATTAACATACCTTATGTCATCCCGTAATTAATATTTATAACTTGATATTGATTCTTTAAAAGCAAACAACATAATGAAAAAAATGTTGAAGAAAAAACTCTCGAAAAATCTTCATTACCAGTGCCCTATACATAATCAATTAACAAGAAAAAACAAAACGTTAGATTCTTTGAGACTGATACGAAAAAGAACTAAATCTTTATTTAACTACCACTCTTATCGTCATATATCTTTTTTTCGTATTACTATTAAAAAGCTGTTAGCGTAATCCTGATGTGATTAAAATGTTAAACACGAAATCAATGGTGTTACCAATAGAAAGATGTGTTTAACAAATTGAGCTGAGTGAGTACTGTAGTATATACTCGATACTCTCTTTGATTCTTCAGTAAAAAATAAATAAATAGTTATATAGATCTTTTTAATTTGTCTAGAAAGTCACGAATTCTTATTTTTAGCATTTTATGTATATACAGTAATTTAATTTGTTTTTCTTGTATATTATTGTGTGTTTAGTCAATAGTTTTAAATTTAATGTTCTATGGAATATCACATTGCGATAAGAAGTATCAATATTTTTCATTCTTTTCCTTGCTAATTAATTATTAATATTAAATTTAATAAAAGAAGGGAATTTATTCATGTGAAAGATCGAATCGCGTCTGGGTAACTAATTCTCAATTGTTTTATCGATCTGAAAAATTGACTTTTTGTACTGTCCTCTCTTTACTTACTTGTGAGAAAGAGAATGACGAAATGAATGTGTCAGTACTTGTTTTTGTTGAGTGAATGAGAAAAAAATAAGCAGGTTTTTTTCGTTTTTCTTTCACTATTGCTTGTACGAGAGTATAGGTATATGCGTTATGTGTTCTATCAATATAGTATACAGAACGCAAAATTGACACTGTATAAATTATAGAACATCAATCTATTCGTGAAGAACAATACAAAAACAGCAGCATCTACGAAAAAACAACGTTGGCATTGTAAACGTAAGTGATAATAAATCAATTATTAAAATAAACAATCCGATGCAACGTTATCATCGATGTCAAAAGTAGAGTGCAAGTAATTAGGTGAATAGCATATGTATTCGAACAAATATTTTGCAACTTGTAGAAGCTACCAATTCGAATTAAATAGTCATTTATTCATCAATATTTGTTTGCTTTAAAATATTTTATTGTACTGCGAATCTTAATTATTAACATGTAAGAAAAACAAATAGATTTAAAAAAAGATCATCTCAACATGAGATTTAGAAGTTTAAATGAACTAATTCGATTACAGCGCTTGCAAATATAGATTTTTCCATAAATATTCTTTTTTGTTTTATCTTGAACAAGTCATCAGCTATCCTTTTATTGCTCGAAAATCAAGATATGCTCAAATCAAAAAACAAGAATCTTGTATCGACTATGACTCCTATTCAGTATATATTTACCAATATGCCAACTTTTTATGGTCTGTTTTAACATGACCTATAGGCGCTTGTCAAGCGAAAACAGGTTGACTTTTTCTCTTGGTTTTAATTCTACATAAGCAAATATAAAACATTGACACGACGACTATGTATTTCGCGTCAAAACATCTAAATTACTTGGAGAACAAGTATGAACGTCGAGAAGTTCTTGATATCCCAATCCTTTGATTGGTTGAAGCATTAACACTATGTTGGAGAAGTTTATAGTGTCTTCTCAAATAGTTTCGTATGTATTTATAGAATTTTAAAAAAGATAAACTTGATCGAGCTATCTTTCGACTGAATCCTTTCATGTGATATTTGAGCCAAAGCATTTGACTGAAGATGAATTAGCCCAACTCTGATGACTTTCATATACTAGCTTTAAACTTAGTCAAACGCTTTGATTGGGATTAATAACCAGCTAGAAAAGCTTTCATTATATAATGATTGATTTTTTTGTTTGGCGTTTGCAATGGATTTCATTATTTCTATAAATTTTATGTACGCTGTGGTAAAGAACTGTTTTCCTTGTACTTGTCACTGGCTATGACAATTGTTGATCTTAGCCAGTACGTTCGATTAACATACTTAGCATAACTCGAAGCTGAAATTGATCAGACTTGGTTATTAGAGAATTATTAATTTGGAACATGTGTCAAAGAATTTAATAATGTGAGATCTAGTTTTTTTTAGATGAGTTACAATCAATTTCAATTTCTAACGATTCTTACCAATTTTAATTTAATCTTAGTCAACTCTACTCATATTTTGAGTGAAGATTCAATCATTGTTGAAAATGATCCAAGCAATTGTGGAAAAAAAACTCACATTCACATCCACACCTAATTGAAAATAGAAGATATTACAAGGGTGGAGATGTTGATCAAGAGAAGATGCCCATTTTCTATTTTTTTTCTTTAAAGATTTTATTCTCTGGTCTCAAGATTATTGATAAGATTTTACAAAATCATATTCCATATGTATCAGATTTGTGAATAATGTCATGGATGAGCAAGAGGACACACTTCAGATTCAGACAATTCGCGGTTATAGACATAAAATTCATCAATTGCGCCTGAATACGCGCCCATTACAATATGGCCCGTTTGGCAGTTAGTTCCTAATCCACTATTGCCTAGGAACACACACATTGAAGTACCTCCAGCTGCGAACATTGAGACCGTTTTCGACCCATATAGTCCTCCGTTGATATATAATCGTAATCCATTGACCCCACTCCATGTTTGCACGATATGAGTCCATGCATTTATCGGCGGAATAGGTCCAATTACAGCAAAAGCATTATTGTTCCAAGTTTGACTCACAATCGATCCATTTGAACTGAATCCAATCATTGGCAGACACCAGCTACCTGAGCCTGTAGCTGCTGTCGATAAGTGAACGAGTGTACCAACTGGAAACGATGGATTAATCCATAAAGCAATAGAATAAGCTTGGTTCTGACCCAAAGCCCAAAACCCACATGACTGAAAATAGGAGTTTGTTTTATTGAAACTGATTGCTTGATTAACTTTACCCGTCATCCAGCTAATGCCACTGTTATCTTGTACAGTAGTCGTACCAGTAATTGTATTGGGTCCAATATCCACAGTAGAACTGTCAAATGGAAAATGAGCGACAAGTGATGCATCGTTAAGAATTTCGCACGATGTTTTAGCTCGATTCGTAACTGTTATTTGGTCGAGCAATCCATCGAACCAGTACCCCTCAGGTATTCCTGTTTTGCCGACTACACAATAAAAATTTAGATTAGGATTAAGAAAACAAACATCTGACAACTTACTGGTAACATTAGCATTTTGACCAATGTAAGATGAGATGGCTACCCTACTTCCTTCTGATAGTCCATCCAAATATATTGACTGATTATTGGCTACAACATCATAAACATAAGCTATATGATACCAAAGGCCAGTAGTAAGATTTGTTACACCGAAGAGGTCGTCCGCGTAGAAGCCCATGTATACTTTGTAGTTGCGAATGGTGTAATGAAGACATCGATCAAGTGAACGATCTTGACACTCGCCAAAAAAGTTTGCATCCGACACGTTCAATGTGTATAAATAGATCCACATTTCCACTGTGAAACTTTTCGAAGTAAAATCAATATTTGGTACAACAACATACTGAGATAAAGAACCGACAAGAAGAAGTGCTTGACCTACATAGCCTGTCGAAAATGCAGCTCCATTTACAATGATTCCATCATATCCATTACTCGATACATCTTTTGTATTTTCTTCGAATGTCCATGATGCAATCAGTGTCGATGGGGTTACTGTAGTTACATTTATGCATGTGCTCGAACACGGTGTACCATAATTACTTGGAATCCAAGCTGTAGCTGGAGGGGTAGTGCTTGTCGTAGTAGTAGTAGTAGTAGTAGTTGTTGTTGTTGTGGTTGTGGTTGTTGTGGTTGTTGTTGTGGTTGTTGTTGTGGTTGTGGTTGTGGTTGTGGTTGTGGTTGTGGTTGTTGTGGTTGTTGTTGTTGTTGTTGTTGTGGTTGTGGTGGTGGTTGTTGTTGTCGTGGTTGTTGTTGTTGTTGTTGTCGTGGTTGTTGTTGTTGTTGCTGTTGTCATGGCTGTTGTTGTTGTTAATGTTGAAACATCGTACCTGTTAGCCAGACCATAAACAAGTCCTAATGAAAGAGCAATTACCAAAGCAAATAGAAGAAAGAGAAGTGTAGCAATAACAATTGAACGACAGCGAATCGAGCATATTTGGCGCCCAGTTCTATTTAGAAAGAAGAAAGTGATTCAGACAACAGCAAAAATGATTATAACATACTTGCTGATGAAAGATATTCTTGAAACCTGTTTTAACTCGATGATTGGAGCCTGAATCTTATCTTCATGGCTCGACCATGCTTGTGAACTTAGTTTCATTTCTGATAAGAATGTGACGGTGGGTTCTTTCGAACGTGGAAATATTTTATTTCTTTTTGCAAGCGTATGAAAGCGTGGATCAATGATTTGTTCTAAGTGTTCACTATTGTTCATTTCTATTTCAAACAAAGGCTTCTATTGTGAAGTAAACAAAATATTTTTGACTTAAATGAACATTTCAAAAAAAAATACCATTATTTTGCCATGCTTTGGTTGAGACGAACTAGAGGTCTCTTTGACTTGAACTGGTGTAGCGAGACGAGAAGTGGGAAGTTGGCTCAATGGAACCAGTTCGAATGAAGACTGTAAGAAAAACAAGAAAGCATTTATTATGAAACATGCATCTAACTCTATATTTTTACGCGCGTATCACTTGGATGAACGTCATTTGTCCATAGATAAGACGAGTAAATGGTTGAATTCGCCATCATCTATTTTTTTGGCGACCTTGCAATCTGTTTACAACCTACAAATGAAAATGGCATAGTATTTGGTTTCTTTATTTTTTATTTTTTTTATTTTTTAATTAAATTTTATTCGAGAGAATTCTGCTTATATCTAGGTGCTGACGTATGTTACATTTCTATACTTGCAGATTCCGTAGAAATATTATGTTAATTTCATTTCAATATATTTGTACAACACGTTTCGCGATACCAGAATTCGTACATCTGCTCTCTGATTTGGCTATACCTTTTCTGTAACATTTTGCAATTTTTATTTCGAAATAGTCGAGTGTTGGTTCTTCCTTTCTCCAATTTTCAAAAACAACGATGTGGATGTGGGTGTGAACATTTATTTCTCTACTTCTACTTCCATACCCTAAATTTAACATTGAACTATATTTTAGAATTATTTTCTAGAATTTTTGAATCAATATGATTAAAATCAATACAATGTACCAAAATGAAACAGCTATGTATATAAATATTTCTGATATATTCAGATTATCCCGTTATGATTAAACCAAAGTTCATTTTAAAATGTTGATAATAGTCATTTAAAATCGATTATATTTTGGGTTGGGTGTGGTTCAAGAGAAGACTAACATCCACACCAAAAACATCAGCACTAAAAAGAAAAATCTTCTTCATATCAATTCAATTCGTAACATTTCGATTTCTATCAAATATATTTTAATTAAAATGATATTTAAATGAAAATCTTTTTCTTGTAGACTTTTCTTTCAAATATATATCATGTAGAGATGAATGATATTTATTAAATAATTGACGAGCAATCATTATTGAACCACCTATTAATGAAAAACAAAAATAATTTTCTCAAATAGATTTGAAAAATCATATACCTTTTGTATCAGTTGTATATTTTTTAATATCCAACATAAAAAATGGTAATTCAGCTTCAATAAATAAACGTTTATTCAAAACATTTGAATCTATTGGATGGTCCTAAAATGATTTTATATTATTAAAAATAATTAAAACAATATAATACTTCAATAAGACTTTTAATAGCAACATCAAAGAAAACATTCCATCGTTGAGCATAGGGTGTGGGTGTGGGTGTGAGTGATTGAAGAAAAATAATCAAAATCCACACTCTAGTAATGAGAAGCAGTTTGATCTTCATTTTATGTTATAGATCAAAGTGGAACATGTTTGTGATGAGAAAGACTTTTTTTTCTTTCGATGAAAAGAAATATAGCCTATTGCACTGGTGAATACATTCACAACAGCAATTATGTGCTTAACGATATCACCTAAAATTATCATCGTCATCGTCATGACGATACTGCCAATGTAAATACAGGGTGATTGAAAAGTAACTAGCTATTTTAAATTCTTTATTACTCTCATACAACAAAAGATATCGTCCTGATTTTTTCACCATCTTGAAGCATGGGCTATGCCATTTTGTTCTAGATGAAATAAGTCGATTGATTATCTGACTGTCTAAGATGAAGCACGAAGTTAGTTTAAAATACATGAAAATGACTTTTTATTTTGAATCTATTACCAAAGTATCTTTGTAGTAATAGCTACAAGTTCGATTACAAAAATGTATCGACAACAAAGGAGGTTATGTGGAATTTTGAG